AAAGAAGAAACAGTACTGTTCTGAAAACAGATATGGGATAACCCAATGAAATACAACAAGAATGCAGTTTGGTTACAGGAGATAGGTAAGAATAAAAAAGAAAGTGAAATGGAAGAACTTGTAATAACAGCACAAGTGGTGGGGAAAGGGCAAAGAAGATTAAGAATTGGTCAGCACCAGGTGAAGATGAATTGCATAGATTTTGGTTGAAACATTTGAGTAGTCTACACCCACTTGTTGCCAAGCAGTTTAACAATATGTGGCAAGGAGGTGAAATTGAAGAGTGGCTAATAGTAGTTAACAGCATTTAGTTGGAATTAAGCTCTTTCCATCCAAGCCAAAAGAAAACCGCCCAAACAGCAGAGGAACAAAAGATCAACTCCTATTTGACAAGATGATTCTGGAAAAATGCAAGAGAAGGGAGACCAACTTGAATGTTACATTGATTGATTACAGGAAGGCATTCAACCTTCTGCCATATGATTAGATAATCAAGTGCCTAGAAATAACCAGAATCAGGAGAAACATCAGAAGCTTTGTACAAAAATTGATGGTATAATGGAAGACATCTTTGCTGGAAATAATGGAAATATTATCAAGAGTCTGGATGAAGACGATCACTATAAATACCTGGGCATCCTTCAAACTGACAGCATCAAGTACAATGAAGTCAAGGAAAAGATTAGCAATGAATGTGTCAAAAGAATGAAGAAGATCTTAAAACACCATCAAGGCAACCAATACCTGAGTAATTCCAGTCATTACATACACTGCTGGGGTAGGGAACTGGACAGAGCTAGAGGCTCTGGATAGGAAGACCAGAAAAGTAATGAATGAATCATGCCCTTCATCCATGCAACAACAGTGACAGACTCTATCTATTGAGGAAAATGAGTGGCCCTGGAATGTTGCAAGCACATCAGATCGTTGAAGAATTAAAAACGGCCACTGGAGGGCAGTAAAGATGTATTGAAGTATACCAGTAAGGCTTACTGACTGCTGGAGAGACCAAACTGGTGTACAAGAAGGACCAAATGAAAAACAGAATGGAAATATGGGAAAATACAGAATTACATGACCAGAAAATAACAACAAAAACAACAACAGTGAGGCACTATGAGGTTGTGGGGCCTGTGTGCTCCGAGGAAGATGAGAGCTATGCCAGAAGTTCAACCATACTGGACAGGTCTCATGAGAAGAGTCAGACAAAGAGTGTCTCTCCCATAAAGAATATGGTGAGATGTAAATTTCAGAAAGCCATACCGGCTCGGATGTTGCCCGGGTTAACAAGGTCCGCACTAGATGTTAGAGTTCATGGATATCTGGTGAAAAATGTGCTACAAGACTCAGGACTATTGGCTGAGCAACCAGAGCCAGCAGCTGCAGAACTACTGGAAGAAAAGGTGTTTACCCGTTGCAAATACACGGTGATTGAAAACAAAGAAATAATAATAATAATAATAATAATAATAATAATAATAATAATAATAATAATAATAATAATAATAATAATAATAATAATAATAATAATAATAATAATAATAAACTGCTCTGGGACTTCAGAATTCAAACAGATAAGAACCTGCAACATAACACCCCGGACTTAACAATTGTCAATAAGAAAGTCTGGATAGTGGACGTGGCAGTACCTGGAGACAGCAGAATAGACGAGAAAAAACTGGAGAAGATAACAAAATACAAAGACCTACAAACAGAAATAGAAAGACTGTGGCAAAAGCAAGCAAGCGTAGTGCCAATAGTAATAGGCGCCTTGGGTGCAATCCCAAAACAACTGGAGCACCACTTGAACACCATTGGCATTGACAAATTCGCCATTAGTCAATTGCAAAAGACGGACTTACTAGGAACTGCTTCCATCCTGCGACGATATCTGTAATACCATCAAACATCCACATCTGCCTATCCCAGGTCCTTGGTAAGGACCCGATAGGTAGACAAAATGCCAAATCCCGTCTGAACATCCTCCATAATAACAACAACAACAATAATAATAACAATAATAAGGGAAAGTAGATAATGACAAGACCAGCAATGACTAATAGCAATAAAGTTGAAGAAAGAGACCAATTAGAAAGAGACTAATTCTGGCTGCACAAGACCAAGCCTTAAGAAGAAATTCGTACAAAGCCAGAAGGCACCTACAAAAACTGCTGCCTATGTAGGAGCTGAAAAAACAGTGGAACACTTGGTTAGATTGCGCAGATTGACTACAAGTAACAGCAATGAGTTTAGCAAAATCACATTTTTATATATAATTCTTTTCATTCTTTTATACATAAAACTCTTCTCATTCTTTTAAAAAAAGTATAAACAAGAGTAGCAGAAGAACTACCTCTCCTCTCCTGGCAACGAAAAATTCACAGGAGTGCAATTTTCTTGTTCTTCCTAATGTAATAATTCATAAAGTATGAAAAATCTACTTTATTTTGTAAATAATATTAAAATAATTTTTGGATTAATATCAAATATTATTTACTGTTAAATATTTCTTTCTTGTCACCATACTGAAATCATGCACACGTGCATGAATGCACATATGCACACATATATTTATTGATAATTTCAATTTTCATTTAATATATTAAAAGTTCATATACTGAATGGTTATATGTCATTTAACAAAGAACAGCAGAAGGAAGATTGATACAATCTCATTCTGAGATTGATCTTCTAAATGCCTGGCTGATTATAATTTTGATTCTCAGGTCTATCAAAGTAGCAGCTCATGATTTTGTGTCTCAGAAATTCTTGGAGATTTAATTATTCCATTCTTTAGTTTTCAATGTCTTAGCAAGCTCATTTTCAAGTGATAAAAAGCTACTTTTTTGTACAAAGAAGTTGAAAGGAAAACACATTTTCTATTTGCTTTTTTATGTAGGTGAATCTATCACATTTCATTTGAGACAATAAACACAGCTGTCCACATAATCCAAAGTCTTTTATCAAGTTCAAAGAGTCCTTTTCATTTATTTTACAATATTTAACATGAATAATAAATAAATGATTTTTTTTCTGAGCATATTCAATAAAAAGGTTAAATATATTTCAGAATTCTGATCCAAGGAATTATTAACTAAAACAGGAAAATAGCAACTAGAAAACAAAAACCAGCAACATTTTAAAATGAGAAATCTGAATCCTTTATTTTTTTTTTTATATTTGTAACAAATGAAAATACTGAATTAATGATTTGTGTATGTTCTGGGGAACAGTTGTATAACAGTAGCTAAAAGTATAGTTCTTGTAGCTAAAATTCAGTTAAAAACAAATTAATGTTTTACTACCATTCAAATAGGCTCTGAAATGTCTTTGGGAGGCCAGGGACTATGCTAATATTTGGGAAGCTGGGCTAAAAATCACAGCGGATGGAATAAAAAGATTACTTTCCTTCACCAGCATCAGGCTATTCTTTCAAGGATGTGTGAAAACTTACTTTCTTTCTTTCTTTCTTTCTTTCTTTCTTTCTTTCTTTCTTTCTTTCTTTCTTTCTTTCTTTCTTTCTTTCTTTCTTTCTCTTCCTTTCCCTTCCTTCCTTCCTTTCTCAATTAAAGGCTATCTGGGGTTTTTCATCATACTTCTGTTTTCCATTTCAAATTGACAGGAAAAAAATGAAGTGTTATCATTTTTTTAAATTATTTGGATGAATGCTATGAGAAGTTGACAAAATAGGGCACAAATGTTTGGATTTCAAGGTAGCCTCTCCTGTTCAAAAGAATATATGAGTTGTTGTATAAAACTGTAAATCTTGAACAGTTGACTGTTTATCTTGCATACATTTATGAACATGAAAAACAACCTTTATGGATTTCTGATGCTTACATTTTTCTTACTGGAAAAAAGGGTATTCAGCACGAACTGATATTAATATAACTGAATTACTACAATTTAATGTTTTATTCCATTTATTCAGGACATAAAAAGGTATGAACCAGTAGCACTTGAAAGCACCCTTAAAGTTTTCCAGTTCAAAATATATGGAAGCTTAAAATATTTTTATGTATGGAATGAACCAAAACGGCAATATCACATTTTATAGTTAGCCAAATTTGAATGAGATATTTATATCACATTCTAACCAAATCATTTGATCAGGGAAAAATCAAAACACCAGCCCTGTTTTCCTTTGGTGAATATTTCATCATTTCAATAAGAATTGTTCTTCCACTGTTTGTGTGTGAACCAGAAAAACTCTTCATTCTTTAAAAAAGACGTAAACAAGAGTAGCAGCAGATGTACTTGTCCTGGCAATTTAGAATTCACAGGAGTGCAATTTTCTTGTTCTTCCTAATGTAATAATTCATAAACTATGCAATATCTACTTTACTCAGTAATTCCCTTGTTATCATCAAAGAATAATATAATCCCCTCCCAAACAGCATACTTATCAACATCATATTTCAGTGCAAACAATATTGAATTTAAGGAGATTCCCTAAGGAGATTTCCAGAATGAAGATGTCTTCAACACACCTGACACACAGAAAATATTCAGGACTGTGCAAAATAATAATTCTTAGTGCAAAAGAAAACAAAAATTTTTTATCATCTCTCTCTCTCTCTCTCTCTCTCTCTCTCTCTCTCTCTCTCTCTCTCTCTGTGTGTGTGTGTGTGTGTGTGTGTGTGTGTATGTGTGTGTGTAGGTAGGTAGGTAGGTAGGTAGGTAGGTAGGTAGGTAGGTAGGTAGGTAGATAGATAGACAGACAGACAGACAGACAGACAGACAGACATATATCTTCAGTAGATTTTTTTCATTACTTACTACCTGACTTTTTATCTGAGGTTCTAGAAAATAAAGTGAAAATCTTCTATTCCAAAAGAATGCCAAGCACTGAGCTCTTAGCCCATAGCTCAGGGAAGCTGTCAGGGGATTCTTAGTCATTCATAACATCTCTGAATTCCTACAAACATGACACTGTTAACTCTTCTGCTTTTGGCAATCCATGCACTTTTAAGAGCAATGCACGGAAGCAATGTGCACATAATGATCCTCAAAAGATTCCATTAATTATCCCTGTAATATTTTAATGCTTTGTAGTTCAGATCACTTGAATAAACAGTCAGTTTAACAAATCTGTTTAAGCAAGAGCAGTGGACAGAGTCTGAATAATTTTTAATAAAACAAGAAAGGCAGTTTTATGTGTTTACTTACTGTTGGTTGCATAACATATGACGGATGGGGCATCCATGAAGTACTCTGAACCTGTGTATCAGAAAGAACAGCCTATTAGCTAAATGGCAAGAAAAAGGGAGGAAAAACCCTTTAAATAGTCTTGCTTTGAAAAAAAAGTAGATTAGAATGAAAATTTTGCGTTCCATTTTGAAAAATTTCATAACTTTAAATGTTTATATTCTATAATTATATAAGAGCTGGAAATAATACAGGTAGTCCTCAACTTATGACCACAATTGTGCCCCAAATTTATGTTGCTAAGTGAGACATTTGTTAAGTGAGTTTTGCCCCATTTTACGACTTCTCTTGCCACAATTGTTAAGTGAATCACTGTAGTTGTTAAATTAGTAAGATGGTTGTTAAATGAATCTGGTTTCTCCATTGACTTTGCTTGTCAGAAGGTCACAAAAGGGATCACATGACCCCAGGCACCGCAATCATCATAAATGTGAGTCAGTTGTCAAGCATCCAAATGTAAATCACATGACCATGGGGATGCTGCAACTGTCATAAGTGTGAAAAATGGTCATAAATCACTTTTTTCAATGCAACATTAAACATCACACAGATCTGAATAAACTACCTTGTACTCATGATCAAATGCAGGGCTGATATACATAGCAATCACCTGAGGAATATAATAAAGCTGAAATTGTACATGAACAACAATCAATACCACATATTATAACTAATATAAAGGAAGCAATATATATGATTGCAGGACCAAATAATGTTAATGTTAATTTTATATTAAAGGATTGTTGGATTTATGATTTGGAGACTTCAATCACTTATATTCATTACTCTATACTCTTTCTTTATAAAATGATATATAAATAAACAAAAATACTATTGTTTTTATTGTTTTAAATTTTTGTTAGAATTTTGATTGTAATATATTTTGTGAATTGTCATTGACTGAGATGGCCAGCTTTAGATATTGAATGAATGGATGGATGGATGGATGGATGGATGGATGGATGGATGGACGGAATGAATGAATACTGGAAATAATTCTTTGCTGATGCTTTGAGAATATTTAGTTGGTTTAATAAAGCAAAACAATTAGGGTTCATACTGTATTTTAAAAATATTAATTAGCTCAGAGATTGATGACGATCTTCTATTTTATAATAAATAGCAAGCTCATGAGGAAGAAATATACAGGTTCCATTTTGATAAGTAAATTTCAAATTAAAACCAGTTCAAAAATCAAAGAAATGTATTTTCTAATAATCCTGAACTTTTTGCAATTCTCCCCATTAAGAATAATCCTATTTTCGCAGTTTATGAGATCTTGTTTACTTTCAGACAACAAAGAGGCTTAATCAAGCTCAGAAAGATCAGTAAATAATATAATCAGACAGTAATAGGCTTTGGACTATCTAATGTAACATAAATATATAAGAGGTCACAAATCCAAGGTCACTGTTTGCTTTAAATTCTTCTGCAACTATTGCTCACTTTACAGAGCAGCAACTATAAGACAAATATCTAACAGCAACGATAACAAACTGGGGAATTATGCCAAGCCTCTTCCAATAACTTGTGGGGTATTACATAAGGGAGTGTAGAGTGGTAACCTCTGTATTATATTGTTCAAAATATTTCAAAATAGTACCAATATCAACACTCTTGTTCTTCCCATCTGTTTGGAAGTTACTTTTATGATCATTTAAAGTTTTACTGGCCAGAAATAGGGTAAAGAATATGCCTTGATCAACACTAATTAGTGTCCCAGTTGACCAACAAGGAAGCATCACTTTTCATATCTTTAAAACCTAATTGAGAATGGGTCTAGGACAATTGATGCTAGCCACATTGCTGCACTTATTCCACCACGCCCCCCCTGCCACAGCAGCCAATATTATACTCAGTGGGCCCTCCCCTGGTGCTCCTTCCCTGGCCATAGTCTGTTGGTGCTCTTGCCCCACCCCCTTGTTCCAGGTGATTCACTGAAAGACACTTGTCTCTGGGCAATTCATTGTGTGGGAAAATTAAATGTGCCTCTTGGTGGCCGGGTGAGGCAGGAAGCAGTCCTGGGCACTGGGCCGGAAAGAAAGAGATGTGGTGATTGCTATGCAGGGCAACTAGCTGTACAACACCTCCAGATAAGGGCACTTTGAAGCAGCAAAGGGGGCAAAGAAGGGCAGGATGTGAGATGGGTCCCTTCCTTCCAGCCTGACCCTCTGGGGCTTCCTTGGCCTTCATGGGATGGAGAAAGAAAGGTCATTCTGACCCTGACATTCCTGGTATGTGCCACTCCCTAATGGCAGTGCTGCAACAGTAGTGGTGATAGCGATGGCAGCAGCAGCAGTCCAGCCAGGGGTCACTCCTGCTCGGGCCAGGATACATTTGTAGCTGCGTGGAGCTAGAGGTGGTCCGCCTGCTCATGCAGCTGCCTCCAGGCCCCCTGCCCATCTTTTCTCCCCACTGTGTGGGTTACTTACTTTCTGATATTTTTAAGCAGGATGCTCTGTCTCGAGCTCCCTTCCATGCATGGGGTGCCCCTGCGCAGTCCCAGGCAGGCTGATGGCATGGGCTCCAAGCTACCTTCCCCACATGGGCTCCCCACATGCTTCCTGCTTCCTCGCTCCATGAATTCCACTGCTGCCTGAGACTTCTTAGGCTATTAGCAATTTTTTTCTTGCTATATTTTTATCTCTTCAAATATTTATCTCATCAGTCAATTAACTATTTGGTGGCTAAATAATTCTTTTCATGAAACACTTGTAAAACCTTTGAAACCAAGTATCCCAGATCTAATCATTCTCATATTTTATTTTATTTTCTCATTCCACCAACAGGTTCTATTTGACAAATTAATTTATTGTGATTCACCATATACTTGAAAAATTATCCTTAGTTGTTTAGAAAACTAAAGGTAACTTCAGTGGCACAGGTGGTAACCCTCCCAAGCAATTGTGGCCATCACCTTGGTTTTTAATATGTTTTTCTTATGTTGCTATACACTTTGTAATGTATTATTTCAAAAGTGCTTATATAATATTATTAAAGATTATTAACCATCTATTATTTAGATAGTATAAAATATGGAGAAGAAAGAAAAAAAGAAAAATATTCTACCAATATTAGTTACAATTTAGGATGTCATTAATGCAAACATAAAATAATACATTCAAAACTGAGTATAATAATAATAAAGAACCATTATAACAAGTATTTATTGTATAGTAGATGCTTCAGTCTTAATCTGATTACCTAATGTTAAAGTCTACATTGCATTGTTAACACACATTAGAAAAAAATAGATAAATAGAGCAAATTGAACAAGAATTACAATACAAAACTGTAGAAAGAAAACAAGAAAATGAAATATTAAAAAGAATTACTGGGTTTGTGACTCTTCCCTTTTGACACATTTTCTGATTCACAATATTTGCAGACATTTAAGTCCTCTTAGATGTCAGATAGCATTTAATTATACATACTATTTTGCATGATACGTTGTAGGTATGGGAACCATTTTTGCTTAAATTTAGTTAAATTTCTGTTGTGTACATATACTGTTAATTTTACTACTCCTGCATATTCTCCAAATCCCCAATCAGGTATTGTTGGAATTGTCCCTTTCTTCCAGTTTTAAGTGAAATTTATTATTGATACTGTAAGCATTTATCTAATGGAATTAATATTTCTTGTTGGTTTTTATTGATTTATAGATTATATGTAGTATGAAAACTTGTGGTTTCATTTCAAATTTAAATTCCAAGACTTTATGTATGACTTCCCAACACTTTTGAGGGTTTTTCCTCCCCCCCCATGTCTACCAGATGTGATAAAACAGCCCTTCTGACCTTTACTTGTGCCTGACTGATTCCATTTCCTTTCTTATTTGTCTATTTGGTATATAATAATCTATCTTTCTAATGTACTGACATGAACAGTTGAAATTTCATTAGGCCAAAATTATAAAAATTAAAATAAATCAGAATATATTCAAAGCTTAAGCTAATGCCACAGACTCTGCATGGAACAAACAAATTTTTTGTGCTACTTAATGTCATTTGTATAATCATTTTTATAAACATTATATAATTGATATAACTGTTTAATATGCCAATATGCAATTGCAGCAAATCATAGATACGTGACTGACTGAATTTAACTGGTATGTGTATAACAGGCATGCCTTCTTCCCTCGCCCTTGTCAGCTTTCTCTGTTACAATGAGGATATACTATAATTTAATGTCCTCTTTATCTACAAAATATCCAATGTTGGTTGAAAATATTATGCAAGGGCAAACACACTATGATAATACATTTACAAACTAAAAGTTGTGACAACTAATCATTCAGAAAACCAACTGATATTTAAAAGTGAATTTTAAATTATTGTTACAAAGGAAGAATTTGCACTAGGCATGCTATGCTACTTATGCAGTTGTTACTTGAAGCCCTCATACACACCTTAAAAAATGGACACGATGAAGAGATCACTCAGGTATTTAAAATAGTGAAAAAGCAGTTTGCCAGATGTATCACGTCAAACCCACCCCATTGCCGGCAATGGGAAAAAGTCGTGATATGTCACAACACATCATATGACGTTGCGAGTTTGACACCCGTGTATAAGTGCCTTGCAACAAATGGGATAGCTATATTGATTCAAGAGAGGGTATCTTGTATGCATTTACATTCTGTTTTATTTATTATTTTATTTATTTTATTTTTTGGATTTATATCCCGCCCTTCTCCCGTAGGACTCAGGGCGGCTGACAATCTATTTAAAATACATACAAAACAATACAAATTTAAAATTAGTTAAAAGGAATATTTAAATATTTGTCGAATTTAAAATATAATTAAATTTTGATGGGGTATAAGTCATAATTCCAGTGCAACTTTAGCTCATAGTAAAAATACATACATTGCTTAGTTAAGAAAGCATGTTTCTATTATACCAAATACTTAACAGGAGTCATAGCTACTGTTAGTGTTATGGTAGCTGTGGGAAGTAAAACAATATGAGTTTTCAACAGAAGAGTATATATGTAGCTCAGGGTTGACAAGAAACAATGGTTGGAAATTGATCAAAGAGAGAAGCAACCTGGAATTAAGGACAAAATTCCTGACAGTGAGGACAATTAACCAGTGGAACAGCTTGCCTCCATAAATTGTGGGGGCTTCACCATTGGAAATTTTTAAGAAGAGGCTACACAGTAACTTATCTGAAATGGTATAAGTTCTCTTCCTTGAGCAGGGGGCTGGACTAGATGACCTCCAAGGCCCCTTCCAGCTCTTTTCAGATCAGTTTTTAACTGTGAGGTCCTTGGTGCTTTCTAAGATTGATTATTTGCTTATAGACATTTTATTACCCAACTATCTAATAGCAATGTTACCACTGTTTCTGACCATCACCTTGTTTAAAAGATACATTTAGATTATGTAAACTGAAAACTTAATTTACGGAAGTATCAGTGTAAATTTTCTGAGATAATATATGTGGTAATTTTTAACAACAGGTTAAAGGAATTCTTACTCTAATATGATAATTAGAACAATAATGTCTGAAAATTAAACTGATATAAATCCTTGGGTTTGTACTAACAATTGTTTTCTTCTTACTTTATGTAAACCGCCACAACCAGAATACATCAAGAATTGTAAATAACTCTCATTTTTAAGTGCTACTAAATAGAAAACCTAATGTGCAGGTCTGGACTATATGTTGTATATATTTACCATCCATTGATATTCAGGTCACAGATACTGACTTAGGGGTATATGAGGCGATTCAAACATACCTGATATGTGGAGACAGGGGAAGCAGCAATGAATGGCGTGATAGATGTCTGTGGAATCATGCGGTTTGTAGCAATACTGTACGGTGAGGAATAAAATCTGCGAACAAAACAAAAAAAGGAAGAAAAAGAAAAAAGAGGTAATGGACTGACATGGACTGCTTCATAAACCATTACCAACTGAAAATAAATATATCTTTATTCTCTACTTTAATTATTGTTAACCTTGTGGAATATTGATTAGAAGAGAATAGTGGGATATAAATCAGATAAATTAATAAAATAAAGTAGTAAATGGGAATCACCCATTTATGCTCCTGCCTTTTCATTAGCAATATGCTTTTTAAAAAAAACAACAACAACACTGGGCTAATTTTTGAACTATGATCAAGACATTGGGAGAGTTTAATTAAAAACTTGTTTTACTCAGATTTCTAACTAACTATGAAGTCAGAGACTAACCAAAATAAAGTTGAAATAAGATCCTCATCTTCTTTATTTCATATTAGCCTTGGTAATAAGGCTAATATTTTTCATAAAATTTATGTTTATTGTATTTGGTACACAATCCTTCATATTGCAATGGTACACAGTCCCTTTTAGAAGGGAAGAGGTCTGTTTGAAATAGGAACATAAGAATATATACTGTCTTCATGGATTTATAATCCATATTCAATGGATATGAGGAACCAGGGATATCTGCTGTAGGATGATGAAGAGGAGGTTGTGAAAAAGAAAAACAATATGGCAACCACAGCTGTGCAATCAAGGCAATATTTTATCCTAGTCTTATTATACCAGCCTTCCATCACAATAAAAAAAACCCAAGTGCTAACCCCTACTCTGTTGAGGAATTTTGTAGGTTTTATTTGTGGAAACAGTAATTAAAATGTGCGTATTAAGGAACAACATCCATATTAAAAAAATAAATAGTTTTTTATGAACAGTTTATAAAATGTACACACTTAAAAGGTATTATCAAAGTTAATCTTAAAATCATTGAACATAATTAATTGTATTAACTATTGTGTTGTCTTTTTTTGGTTTTCTTTTGTTGAATTTTGAGATGGTTGAAGAAATGAGTCAATGTGAACACTGCACTGCTGATGGTAAAATGAGAAAATATGAATGAAAACTGACAGATTTTTGTCTTCATTGATTTTTTTAAAGGCTTCATCAACATCTGGGAATGAGAGGTTTACTTTTTCCCCATAAAGCTGTAGTAGCAATTAAGGCCAGATGAAGCCTTAATTTCTAAGTCTGCAGTTACATATTTACCTCAAAACAGGACAGATGAGAGACAGATATATGCAGAAATGAGAATAGTGTAAAGTTGGAACTTGATAACAGGTGATAATTTGTTGACAAATTAACTTGATGCTAATTAATTGCTTTGGAAACTTAAAAGGAACAAAAAATTCTGTGCCAAAAAAATGAATAGCATTATGATTTACTGACGTACTGAATAATTACATGGATAATTACAATTCTGTAATTATCAAAATTCTGACTTTATCACCATTCCACTCTTTAGATTAATTTAATTACTGATAATTTAACTATTTTTTTTTAAAGTATCCCATACAATTCTGTCAAACTCTATTCATGATTAATGTAATTGATCAAATTTCCTAATAACTAAAAATCATTAGTTTTTGAACACATTAGAATAAATAAATAATATTAACCAGTTTAAAGGTAATTAAAGCCATGGATTGAAACTAAGCCAAACTTAAATTCACTTTTAGTTTCCAAAATACTGGGTAAGCATTCTTAAAAAAATTATTGCAGTAGTGAATATTTTTCATTGTAATAAAAAAAATGCCTTTTATTCAAAAACTTGGATCCTAAAATGTTTCTGTTTTGCAATAATGCTGGTGAAAGATCAATTTTAAAATGAAACTGATGAGAAATAAACTAAAAATGAACTAATTAACATAGAATTAGAATATATATATATATATATATATATATATATATATATATATATATATATATATATATATATGTTTTCTGAGGTTTTCGCGGGTGTTTGTATGTAGGTCTTTAGTTATTCGGGTTTTCTCCCGCGTAGAATTAAAAGTACCTTGGCGACGTTTCGACGAAGTCACATTCGTCATCTTCAGGCTGGTGTCTTCAGCTTGGTG